TTATAAGTGATGGGCTTTATTTATATAACAGCATTAGGATTTCAAGAGTAGCAATAACTAAGAATAAAGAGTAGAGGAAGAACTGGTGTTCAGTAGGATGGAGAAGGAAACAAATGAAAATTCCTTTATTGCATACTTGAAAAGGTGAAAGAAATGCAAAAGTGAAAAATCTTACAGGCACTGAAGATATATAGAAGCAATAAAGACAAAATGAAATAACACAAAGAGGAGAGCAGCGAAGAAGCAGGGTGTCATCAGCTTCCTTTGTTGCCTAGGATACTTGCAGGTTCTGACTGCAGAATTCAGTTTGAGGATCTCTCTTGGTTTAAATGAAGGAATGTTAATTTACTAAGGTTGCCATTACAATAAACCACAAATTGGGTGGTTTAACACAGTAGAAATTTATTTTCTCCCAGTTCTAGAGGCTAGAAGTCTGAAATCAGGTATCAGCAATGACATACTCCCTCTGAGACTCTGGGTAGAATTCTTCCTAACTTCTGGTGATGACCATCAATCTTTGATATTCCCTGGCTTACTCCCGCATCAATCCAGTCTCTGCCTGTGTCATCCCATGGTGTCCTCCTTGTATTTCTCTCTGTCTCTATGTCTCTTCCCCTCTTTTTATAAAGACATCTATCATACTGAATTAGGGACGTACCCTACTACAGTATGACTTCATCCTTATTAGTTATACTTGCAATGAGCCTATTTCTAAAAGAAGATCATACTTTGAGGTTCTGGCAAAAGACATGAATTGAGGAAGGGGTAGCAAGTGGTAATTCAACCCAGTATAAGACACTCCTTAAAAAAAGAAGAACCAGTAATGCTTTTGGTTATTAAAATGACGCTTTATAAATTCCAGGAGCCCTAAAAGCATGGTAACCATTTTCTCCCATGATTCACTTGCTGATTCTGGGGGCTACATGAGAGGCTGAAGATTTTCAAGAGGGAGATTTAAATCTCTCATTGTTTTGTAATATTTGCAAGAAAAGCTCACTTGAGGAATGGAGACTCCTCATACTTTAGTTGGTCTTTTCCTCAAGATATAGGCCAAATTTTCTTTCTGAATCATAGAAAAAAGAAAAGACTATACAGAGAATAAGTCATATGTGTGACATGGTCAAATGACTTAACAGAGGTGTAATTGGGTAGTAGGAGTGGAGAGAGAAATACAGCAGAGGGAATGTTTAAGGGGAAATTTTTAATCTGATGCAATTCTTTATTCTATAGGCTTAAGGAGCTCTGGAAACCCTAAGAAAGTAAATATACCTGTCTCTTATACACATCTAGATGTGTATAAGAGACAGATTACATATATAACATATTACATATATATTATATATATGTAATTTAAAAATTCTTGAATTTTATTTGCTATATTGCCACCAGGGGAAGCACATTAAGAATGATGGCTAACTTCTCTATGAAATCACAAAATCTGGAAGAAAATGAAATGACATTTTTAAAGAAAAACATAAGAACAAGCGAACAAAAGAAAACCTGCCAATATAAAATGCTACATTCAGTGAAAATAGTTTTTAAAAATAAAAGGTGAAATACAAATGTTCTAAGAAAAATATATGCTAATACAACTTCCTGGCAGTAAATCTGCATATACAAGAAATACCAAAGGAATTTCCGGGCTGAAAGAATTATAGATGGAAGCATGGAAGTACAAGAAGGGATGAAGAACAGTTGCCTCAATAAATATAAAACTATTGATCATCTATGACTATAGTCATAACAGAGTCCTGTGGTATATAGAGTACATGTAAAAGTAAACTATATGGCAATTGCAAAAAAAATTCTGAAGGGGTATATAGATTTAAATATTTTCAAGCTTCTTGAATGTGATAAGAACCAACTTAGAATATTCTGTATTAAACTAAGGACTCATTTGGTAATTTCTATTGAAAACTACAAATAACTTATACAAAAAGATGAAAGAAAAATGTTAAGAGAAAGAGAATAACAAAAATTATTGATTAATACAAAACAAAGCAGAAAAGATGGAGGAATAAAGAACTAAATAATAAATTGGACAAAAAGAAAACAAGTAGTAAATGAGAGATATAGTAAGGTAATAAAAAAGCCAAACTTCCGTTTTGGCAATTTTACAATATATATAGCTGACAAAGGACTCATATCCATACTATATGAGGAATTCTTACAATAGATATCAAAAAGATAATAAACTCAAATAAATGTTCAAAAGTCTTGAAGAGACACAAAAGAGGATACCAACTTTCCAAAAACATATGAAAAGGAGCTTAACTTTGAAATACATCAAGAAAAAGTCAATTGAAATCACCATGTGATAGAACTACATACTCACAGATTGTCAAAAACACAAAAGAAAAAAACAGATATTAACAAGGATGTGGAACAACTTAAACTCTCATACATGGTAGGAAGGAAATGTTCAATTGACATTGGATTACATAAGAAACTAGGGTCAAAAGTAGGTAGTGAATATTTGAGTATCTTTTGTTGCATTTCATAGTAAGACATATATAATTCTAAGAATTATTTTTCCTTGTATCTTTGATCTATATATTGACTATTATATAATGCAGATTTGATGGTTATTTTCAATCTGTTATATTTAATTTGTTTAGTCTATTGGCTAAACTCTAGACAAATCTGAGTTCAATTTTAAATTCTAATTCTTAATAGTTATATGACTGGAGGAACTTATTTTGTCTCTCTAAATCATGCCATGTCATCTTTAAAATGAGGATAATGTTATACATCCCTCATTAAGAAGAATAACAGAGGTAGTACATATAAAGTGTCCATGCCTATGTACCAAATGACATCTGTTGTCAGATGAGATTCCAAGTGGGAGGACTAAGTGGTGCTTTCTATGACTGCAGTAAAGAACAGATTCTGAGCAGAGAGATCACACCAAGGTGCTCACATGAGAGACAGAGAGCTACAGCAGCAAGGTCAAGGGAGGATTTTACAGAATGGTTTCCACAGAAATGATATTTGCATGGAAATCAAAGTTTTCAAGACTATATTTAAGCAGAACTTCAAGCAAATAAAGAGTCAGAGAAACAAATGACTATTTTCAAGAGGAGGCATTTCAGATTAAAAAAAAACAGTGGGAAAAGAAGAAATTAATAAAGAAAGAGGGTGCAGGTCAACTGGAAAAAATCCCTTAAATATACTGGTTAGCGTTGTCACTAATTCCTACCAAAGAAGAACTAAAGGTTAGATCATAGCTACTCCTTACCTTACAGAACTCCTCCAATGAAGCTACACATAGTAATAAGTACACAAACATAGAATAGACCGTAGAAGGACATATGCTCCCTCAAGAGAGGAAAGAAATCTGCTTTCTTCAGAAACTAGATAGAACTGTTGAAATATGAAATTAGCTACAAATTTGAAATTATGAGCCATAAGTGGCAATGCTTTTGTTTCTCACATATTTTGCCATAAAAAATGAAAACAAAGGAAATGAGTAAGCATTTGAGGATTTGGGGCAGAGTAAGAAGGATCTGAAGTGGGAGAGAAGCAAACGTGTTCTCACGCTGTTGCAATGATTTCTGGATTTCATTGACCAGTGTATTATCCCACACTCCAGCATTCCTCCCTTCCTCTTCTACCCAAATAGGAACTGATATGGGATTGCTGGGTTCTTGTTTTATGAAGCAATTACATTTAAAAACAATCACAAGCCACCATTGGCTATCTCCATCATTTCCCAAAAGAACAAACTGATACCAGAAACATAGGATGAATATGACCTCAGAGGGAGAAAGCTTTATGAATAACTCACTACATTGTTTCTGTTTTTATCACTTTGTTGCTGGTGTGTCACAACCTCTCTGTGGACTAGAATTGGGTAATGGACCAGGATTTCAAGCCCACTCCCTCACTGAATTCTGGTGTTCCAGCACCATGGATAAAGACACCTATACCATCAACTAACAAAAACATATCAGAGCAAGTATTTACTCTAGTAAGATTTTAGATAATTTATTACTATTTATATCATTCCAAAATCTGAACATGTTTCATGTTCAATTTGCATTTTCCTCCTATGCAAATGCATGTAGGTTTCTTCTTACACAATGTAGGATAAGTCAGTTCCAAAAAAAAATCCTTTATCAAGTTTTACAAACGTTAACCTTTGCAGGCACAGATGTTTCATAGATAGATGAGATAGATATAGATATAGATATAGATAGATGTAGTATATGCTGGCTCTACCTGGTTATTAGAATCGAGATTCTTTTTGGACATGTTACAAATAATATTAACCCACACCCTTATGTTAAACCCTTAGTTATCTTATCATTTATAATGTTCAATTGCAATTTTTGTTGGCATTACTATCTCCCTTCCAAGACAGTAAACATTTGAGGGCAGGAACTAGCTTTCTCCATCTTGATATCCTGACAACTAAAGCAAAATTTGGTCCATTCTTAGACTCTTATAAGTATTTGTTGAATGTTTGAATGAATAGCTCTACTTAGGTTATGTTTCCTGAAACATCACAATTATATATAGCAAATCCATGGTACTATTTTATGGTTTTTGATGGAAGTAGTAACTCAATCTGTCCTTCAACACTCATTTATTCATTCTTTGTACATATATGAAACCGTTACTATCTGCTTCCACGGTGCTAATTACTCTGGATAAAAGAAATGAGCAGAATCTAGTCACTGTATTCAAGGATGTCAGAAATAGTTCCATTCTGGAGTTCATGTGATCTTTTTAGCACAATGCCTTATGGAAATACATTCAATTTTTTGAATGATACAAATATAAATGATCTAATCACATAAAATATCACTAAATACTTGCTCTGATACGTTTTCCCTAATGAGACTAAAACCCGTTTGTCACCGTAAGTGGTAATATCCACTCTACTTATGTAAGAGTCCTCCCCTCTAACAAATTACAGCCACTATCCCCATGACATGGTTTACTTAAATTGGAGCCTTAGCCTTATGCATTTGAAATGAAACAATAAATCTGCTTACTATCGCAAGTCTTGTTGTATTTGCTGTTCTCCTGTGGAAACCCTTCCAGTCGGCACTGAAAACGATGCTGCCAAAATTCTTGAAACCAAGGGTTTCGATGGTTTGTTTCTGGCCGGAGCTTCAGATAATAATCATCAAACCACTTGACATCGGGAGACTGGAGCTTGATTGTGATGCCACCAACAGCTTCTCGCTGATATCCATCTGTCACATCATACCTGTCAGCCCAGCCATCACTGTGGGGAAATAAAAAACCCCTCAGCTTAGAACAGATACCTCCTAAGCAAATGAATCAATTTGCTTTCCTTTTGACGAGATTAGTCATTAAATGGATACCTTAGGCCACATGATGGTCCAATATTACACCGAGGTGATTATTGATATAGCAGCTTGTTAGAATAAAAAGTGCAGTAACACCATGGAAACTTTGGGTCTAAGAGTGCTAAAAGGAACTAACTTCACTTACCTTAAACTGCAGAGAATAACCTGAAGATTCTGGCAGAATTTTACTGGTTGCAAAATATAGTATATACATGGAAGCTGCATAATATCATCATTCACATTTTTAATTGACATTTAATAGCCAGGTCAAGTTAACTTTGAATACATTATTTTCTTTGGCTTTATAATAGTAATTATAATGATAATAAAATAAGAGTCAAAAATATCATCCAACATGTCTAATATTAATCATCCTGTGAGGCAACATTTTTGTTTGAATTTTACAAGTGAATAATAGGTTTAAAAAACCGTTTGCTGATTATGGTTACTCTATTATATGTTGATTTGCCAAGCCTCAAACTGAAATCTTTGTAGTCCATAGTCCATACACTCTTTCCTATGGAATTTCTAAAATACATTAAAAATGTACATCTGAAATCACATTTTATATTAGAGTGCCCAAAAGAACTTCTGAACAGTGTGCCATCAAAAGTGGTGAAGGGATCATACTCCTCAACATAACTATCATTCTATGCACTGATCACTCAAAGTTATTTAGGAATTTTAAGATAAAAGGATTTGAAATCAGAGGGTCGTATTATAATGCTAGAGGAAAGTATAACAGAATAAGAAAAAAGTCTTCTACAGTGATTTGGAAAATACATGAAATATAGTATTGGAAATAAAAACAAAAGGCATGAAAAGATGTTTGTATAAAATTTGGATACACCCTAGGGCATCTAAGGAAGAAGGAAACTGACTTGTCCTTCTTCACTGCCACTGATCGGATATACACAGTTTGTGCTGTATGTCTGCTGAAATCCAGTGGTACTATCTTTCCCTGGAAGAAGTGCAAGTGCTCATTAAAGAAGTATGAGGAAAGGGACAATTTGACTAAATCACGAGTAATCTCAAAGAGAGAAGAGAAGGAATATAGAGAGATCTAAGGGGAAGAACAGACTAGAGCCTCCTAAATGCAAAGCAGGAAAAAGTGTTAGGAGGTGAGCTGGGGGTAGGGGCAGAGGGTACTAGGGAGAGGACGTGGGAAGAGATTTACACTACCAATCACTGCTTACCTCAGTGATATTCAAATATTTCCATTTAACAGAATGTTAATTTATTTTTACTTTCCTTTCATTGCATTTTTGCCCTTAACATTTTTTTTTTACTATGCAGAAAGCGTGGTCCAATATTTTGCATATTCTGTAAGTAATTAATTTAAATTATACAGAAAGCATGTACTTTTTCCAGTATGCTCTGCTATACCAACTTTAATATAAATATTGATAATTGTGAGTTATTCCAAAGGTCACATATTACTCATTAAGATATCATAAGGGCTTGAGGTGACTTGAGATATTAGCTAGGGCATCAGTGGGTGGAGAGAAGGGAAAAAACAAACAAAAAGAACACTTTTTTTTCTCTAAGTCCTCCTTGGCAAAAAGATATTTCATTAAAAATTACCTATAGTGAAATTTCAAAAACTTTTGTGGCAGATCAAGAAAAAAAAATAGTAATGTAGTATGTTTTGTCCCAGTGTTGAATTTGGTTACTTCACACATTATCTTCCCTCAAGTTTCCCATTTTCAGCTCCAGAAGATTTTATTTAAAGCTGACAAGTTGAAATGAAGTGGGCTTGTTTGCCTCATTTTCTCCTCTGTTTTGGAGGGTTTATTATATCACTGAGATGAGAGTGTGGGTCTCATTGGCACTCAAGGAGCTGCATGGGCGTGTTGCAAATGGGACAGGAAACTGTTTGTCAAGCAGAGCCCCATTCTCCAAGGAAGTGGGAATTTAAATTGCTCCTTTTGTTAACATTAGCTCGCTCTTATGTAACACTATGATTATGAATATTACATAAGAAATGTAAGATTATAATGGCTCCAATTTACCCTTCACAGTTCATTCACTGAATTTAACAGGGATTGTAAAAAGTTTGTCTTGATAAACTTTTTTGCAGGTGATATTTCCATAAAAGAAAACTGTCAGGATGAGAGTGATAGTTTACCCATTTCTCATCATGTACTTTCTCTTTTTTTTTTTTTGAAGTATTTATCTTTTCTGTAAGTTTAATAATTTAGAAAACTATGATGTTTTATTATTAGTCTTCCAAGTTAGAGTTGTGAGTTTAAAATAATTTTTGTTTCAGATGTTGCCAATTAACAGCAAAATATAAATCATAAAGGAGATAGTATAGAAACAGAAAATCTCAATATCTATGTGACAAAACAGGGTCATGCTATTTAAAATTTTTGGATAATATCTGCTATGTTGATCCCCCAAAAAACAGTTTAACACTGACTAAATTAGAGGGTGGTGTATTGACTTTAGCTTATTAAATATTAACATTTTTATATAAATATATCTTTAAGATTTGCATTAAGATGATAGGGCATCTCTAAGTATGATGCAATAAATTGAGCAGTAAAATGAAATGCAAAGAAAAAACCTTTCTACCACCTAAAGCTTTCTATTACTTTGATAGAGTGGACCTTCAATATTCTAGTACTGCTTTAATTCTTTGGGTGACATGTATTTTACCAAAGCAAGAGAAAACAGAGGGATAAAGATAGGGAAGGAAACTAACATTTACTAAAAATCTACCACATTTAAGTCACTTTACTAGATTTATTATTTGTCCACCCATTCAATTTCTCCCTCTTCTCACTGGTGGGCATTTTGTCCAACTCCTCATAATCCATTTTATTCTTTTCTTTCCAGTTGTTTGAATATACAGTTGGTCATCATTATTTACAGATTCTGTATTTACAAATTTAACTGCTTGCTAAAGTTTATTTGCAATACCAGAATCAATATTGGTGGCATTTTTGCAGCCTTTCATGGGCATGCAGAGAGTGGCACACATTTGAGACTACTGAAGTGCACGTCCCCATCTGAGGTTGAAAAGGGTGATTCTCTGCTTTCTTGTTTCAGTTCTCATACTACAAACAAATGTCCTTTTCAGTATCTATTTAGTGCCATCTTTTGCAGGTTTGTATTATTTATTGGTGACTTTACTGTTTAACTTGGCCTCCAAGAATAAAGCCTGATGTGTTATCTAGTGTTTCTAAACATAAGATGGCTGTAATATACATAGAAAATACAGTCAGCCCTTCATAACTGTGGGTTCCATATTCACGGATTTCATCAATAATTAATTGAAAATATTTGGAATAATAAAAAAATACAAATAAAAAACAAGACAGTACAATGACTATTTATATAACATGTATGTTGTATTAGGGATAATAATTAATCTAGAGATGATTTAAAGTATAATGGAGGATGTGTACAGGTTAGAAGTAAAAACTAAGCTACCTGATACAAGAGACCTGAGCATCTTTAGATTTTGGTATTAGTGCGGTAAGGGGAGGAAGTGTCCTGGAACCAATTCTCTGCAAATATCAAGGGACTAGGGATAACTGTATATAGACAATACATATGTTAAAAAAGCTGCATGAATAAAGTGCTGTTACTGCAAGTTCAATGTTAGTGAGTCAACAATATATATTAAATAAGGTGTCTTTAAATAAGAACACACAAAAAGCAAGGTTATGTTTTGACTAGTTGATGAACATGTTGTGACTAAAGACTCACGGCAACCTAAGCTTGTATTTCCTCTAGGAGTAATGGTCATTATTCACTAATTTACTGTTTGCTGCATGTTTATAGAACATTACTGTGAATAATAAAAATTGGCTGTAATTATATATAATCTTAATCTGGATTTTTTTTTAGTCAGGTTTGTAGCCTTTCTTTGGCTATGGAAGCAGAATAACTTGAACATTTAAAATAGAAAAAGCATTCTTAACTTACTTAGCTTGGCTTAACTAAAGGAGGATTCTTTGTACATATGTACTGGATTCTCAAAACACCTCACTAGCAGATACTTAGATCCTTTAAATATTCCCTGCAGACATCTTAAGGGCATGCTAACCTAGCAAGAATTTACTTTCACTTTTTTCCCAAGATTGCATTACCAAAAATATACTCTCTTTCTCTACAATCTACTCTTCCCCTTTCTCCTTTCAACCCTAATTTCTATGATTTCTCATAATGAGAAACTCATGAAAGCTTAATTTTTCTTCATTTTCAACAGACAGTTCTTGTTTAAAACAAAATTGACTCTTGAATTACTCTGCTATTTTTTTTTCCTAGGTCTCTATAACTGTCCTTCTTTTCTTCAACATTTATTAGATATCTACCCATCTTAGACTAAATTATTTTGTCACAATCAATAGTCCCAGTATATCACTAGTATAGAACAGAGGTTTATTTCAGCCTTTATATTCACTGCAGATGGCCTGTAACTCTGTTCTATGTCATCTTCATTTTGAATTTCAAGTCTAAAAGAATAGTGTGTTTCTTGTAGAGCAGGAGTCCCCAAACCCCAGGTTTCAGACCAGTACTTGTCCGTGGCCTGTTAGGAACCTGGCTGCACAGTAGGAGGTGAGCCCTGGGTGAGTGAGCATTACCTCCTGAGCTCTGTCGCCTGTTAGATCTAATGCAGAGGCATTAGATTATCATAGGATGGTGAATCCTATAGCGCACTGTACACGTGAGTGAGCTAGGTTGTGCGCTTCTTATAAGATGGAACAGTTTCATCCATGAAACCAGTTCCTGGTGCCAAAAATGTTGGGGACTGCTGTTGTAGAAGGAAAAACAGATATGATAGGGGAATCATACAATGGTTCTTAAGATTCTGCTTAAAAGTGGCACATGTTATTTCTGCTCACGTTTCACTGACTGAACAAATCACATGACTAAACCTGACCTGAATGGGACAGGCATCAGC